GTAGTAGTAGTAGTAGTAGTAGTAGTAGTAGTAGTAGTAGTAGTAGTGGTAGTAGTAGTAGTAGCAGGAGTAGTAACAGCAGCAGAAAGAACATCTTTAGCCATATTTTTCGCCAAAAAAATACTTTCGCCAACTCGAGAAAAAACTTTCGCCAAATGAGATGTTGATACGTTCCGGGTCATCGTCATCAACAATCCTGTCTAGGACCTTTAGATCGACAACCATATTATGATTATATATGCATGCTTAAGTGGCAGAATTTGCACCGTGACATCTACAGGAAAGACCAAAGTCATGCATTTTGGCAGAGTCAAACACCTTCACAAACTAAATAAAGAACCAATTTTTGCAGCATGCTGCACATGCGCAGGCCGTCACAGGGGACAGGAGTTTCAGGAAACTGAAACAACGGGAAACATGGAAGAAAAAACGAATCCGCGGTCCTTTTTCGTGCCCTTTCAGACAGTCTAGCAGTGACAGCATCCGCGAATCCGTGGTTTTTCACTCTTGGACACCCGCGCGCGACACCCACGCTGTTTCGACCGCTGTTGATGTCGCAGATCTGGTTTTGAGTTGATGCCTGATCAGATCAGTTAAGATACCCGTGTGTACTCCAGGGGGACCTGGACTCCTAGAAAAAATAGAAATTTCCTAGGAAAATTTAATTCGCGAGATTTATTAAGTCCTGTTGGCCAGGTCCATGCTTCAAAATTTAGGTTCTATAAAATCCTATCACTGGGACATTAAACTCCCTGGGGAAACACTCGTAGATCTTGGCGGATTCCTGGTCACGTCCTCCCCGGGGATTGGGGCACCATAGATTTATGAATTCCTTGCGCCCACCAAAACACTAACATTTCCACACAGAAAAATATAAGAAAAGCTGTCTTGTCCATCCATGGAAATCCATCGCAGAGCATGCAGAGCTGACTTTTTTCCGGCATGCTCATGCAGTGTCGTTCATCATCCGAGATCCTTTGGGGATCTCGGACAGCAGCTTGAAAAAACCATGCTTTCTTGCAGGCTTCTCCATCAAAGCACGCTTGATGTCCTCCAGGTACTTGAAGATCAGCGCTGACCTGTCGCCCTTCTTCGCATGACCAAAGTAGCTCGAGAAGAACTCTGATCTCTTCACTGTGTCCTCCCAAGCCACTCCTGTGCTTTTGACATTGCCATGCTCGTCGAAGATGTTCTGCAGGGGAAGCTTAACCTGTACAGATTCAGCAAATCCTCCATGCAACGCTGAATGTTGCGACCTCCAGCTTTGCTTGCGCCAAACGACGAAGGCATGAACTGGAAAGCCTTGCTTTGCGCAGCGACCTCATCGGCATCGGTGGTCTGCTGCGTTCTCTTTCTGCCTGGTTTCTTCTCGCCGCTGAGGATCATGTCCATTAATTCTGAGCTGCCCTGAGCTTCCTGCATGGCGATCTTGTCATCATCACTCAACGCCACACGCATTCCATCCAAGCCAGCCAAACATTCCTTGACCGTGAGCTTTGCGATGAACCTGCTTTGGTTGACCAGCATGCACCCAGAAAAGGAATTGCATCCGTACCATGCCTCCTCCTCCTCGCCGTCTGCAATGCGCCGGAGCGGCACCATGCGGATTTTGGCCACTGCTTCAAAGGGAACAGGAAAGCTGGTGAGTCTACATCCCTGCTTCCCAAAGCGGAACACACTCAAAGCACACCTCAATGTGACTTGGTTCCTTTCCACTGGTGGGTGGCGTACAACATGATGGAACCCACCTCCAACGAGACCTTTGTTGGAGCCGGGAGGGCCGCATTCATATTCATCCACGGAGCCACCCTGGACGTGCGGGAAGCCGAAACTCCTGCTATCCGCCTCATGACCTTAGCACAGAGTGAAATGAAATATGTGATATATGTGAAGCTTATAAAATCCTGAAATTTGATATAGCGTACAAAATGTGACGTTTATAAAATCTTGCGCGTGCTCAACATCCAAGCCACTGAGCACTCATGTTCGGCAATTTGATGCCATGACAGATTGTCGGATCGAACCCTGGACCCACGATGGTTCTTCAACCAAGCCTTGTCAGCAGGCACTCTCAAATTGCACAACAGCTGCCACATTGGACCCCACAACGGTTCTATGTCCTGGTGAGCCACACCTCCAGAGACAATGTCGAAGAATTTCGAAAGTGTCCGACAACTGCCAAGCCTTCCAAGCATGGATTTGGAAGAATCAAACTGCACTGCATCCTCCGGGATCTCAAAAAGTGCTTGAAGGTCTTTACTCCCTGGGGCAGCATCTTCCTGTGGCGGATCTGAATGCTTCACCTCATTGTCTTCATCTTGGATCCTCTTCTCCATGTCCTGGATGCGTCGCAGCATCTCCAAGCATTGATCCGTTGATTCAGACTGGGCTATTGGTGGCACAATGTCCTCATCATCATTGCCATCATCATTTCCTGTCAAAGTCTTGGAAGTGATCGCCGCCATCTTCACAGTCATCTTCACTCAGGCTACCTCCAGCAAGAGTCCACACAACAATGGAACACCTAGAAAACAAAGGCTTCGAGATCTTCGCTAATTATAAAATCCTGTTTGTTCTGTTAAAAGTGGTATCCAATTATAAAATCCTGTTCCTAGCAGTGCTGTGTCACGTCCAACATACAACTTTAGGCATTGAGCCAGCCTTCTTCTGCCAGCCTTCTTTACAGTGATTTTCATGACTGCACAGGACAACATAGCATGGCCCAATGCCTGATGATTCAGCACGATCTTTCTGGCTGCAGGTCTGACACAGAGAGTTTGCTAGTGGAGGCCTTCGCTCTTAGGTTGGAGGCTAGTCCTCTTCACCGTCCGAAAAAAAACGAAAATCAGCACCGCCCTGCCCCCCCAACTTTAGCCGTCTGGTTTGCCAGTATAAATTTATAAAATCCTAAAACAAGGTATTGTTCCAGGAATCTGCAATGGAATCACCACTAGGACTTTATTAAAAAAACATACTTTTATAAAATCCTGTTTGATGAAATCATGTTACGAATATGAAACAGTTATGAAGTCCTGCTTGCCAGGTCCATGTGCCATGGTAGGGGGACCTATTGTTTTTATATATAGTTGTGGCCCAGGTCCAGGAAAAAATAGTTGGATTCCAGACGGGTATAGTTAAGTAGAAACCTGGGCGCAGACTATCCTTATGGCATCTTCTGGCCATTTCAGCTGTGTCATCCTGCACCGGGAGTGTGATTGCTAGTGGTTCTTTGCAGTTGCATGCCAAAATCCCATGCAACACGTGTCACTCCATGTATACGCTGAAAATTTTCTTATTAAAGCATCGGACCTGGATTAACAAAGAGGCTGGGACAAGATTGAGGATTGCCGGAATGATGATTGAATTGATACAACTGAACGTTTGTACAACGCTAGGCAGTCGAGAGGTACATGAGTCATCCCCGGGTGGTCTGTGGCGCCTGTACGGCGTCGGCGTGTTCAAAGGCTATGAGATATACTCCATGTCGCTGATGTGTTTCTTTCGACTCTGCTCAAACTCCTGCAGCTGTTGCTGTCGATGTGCTATGACAGCATCATATCAATTCCATGTTTGATACCTCATTCGACCTTTGCCGGTATTGAATGAGCTGCACCATGTATAGTTATCAGGCACTATCATGCGGCAGAAGCAAATACCTATCGTTTCTACATCACCTGGCCCCTGGCTGACGGGACCCTGTATAGTCCCCAAAGGATTGTCGTGCTCATACGCCTAGCAGATCTAGTGGTGGATTTGAGAGTTACCAAGAAGTCACGCAAGCGAGGCTGAAGAGGCTTGAGTGGAGCTGAAAATCAACGACCCTTGACATTTGTTGAGTACTTTGATTCTGGATGCCTCCAGCAGGGAAATACAAGCTGCAAAGGTCAACAACTCATCGTATTGAGCTCCACATCTGCTTTGTTCCCCACCTGTCAGGTGAGGGTTGTGAGATTTTGACAGATAGTCTTCTCCTCCCTCTCCTCCGCCCGGGCCTCAACAGCAAGCGCCAGATCGCAGTGGGCAGTCTCGGACCTCAACCGCAAGTGGCAGATCGCAGTGGGCACTACAAGACCTCAACACAAAACATAACGACAAAGACGCAACATATAACATACAACCAACAAAACACAACCACAACACACAAACACAAATACAGCCAAAAACAAACAAACCGCAAATACAATCACAAACACAACCAGAAACACACAATCACAAACACACAGCTACAAACACACAAACCACAAGCAAAACCACAAACACAGAACCACAAACACTACCAGAAACGCACACCCACAAACACAAAATCACTAACACACAACCACAACCGCAAACACACAATCACAATCACAATCACAAGCAACATCGTTAACACAACCCCACGACCATGGCAACATGCTCCTCGCCATGGTATGAAAACAAATGATTGAAATGTCATGGTGGGGATCACTCGAAGCAAAGTAAAGAAATTGGGAACTCCACGTGCGAACTCTGCGACCGTAATGACAAATTGTGTGCAACATCAAATAAGATATGCTATATCCCCCGCAAATTGACATGGAACCTCAGAATTGACCGGAAGACAATATTCCTCTACAACCCAGTGGTTTGGGGGTTCTATGTTACTATATGTGTATACACATACACATGAAATGGGCATAGCCGCCAAAGCCTGGAATTAGTCTAATATTGCCGGTGACATCCAAGAAGTGGTTATGAGGGGTGCACACGGTGATGCGGACTGTTCCAAATTGTTGACTAGTCGCTGACATTGTGCACGAGCCTCGCCGACTTTGATGGATTACCCAGGTTGGGGGTGATCACCTCTTTTCTTTCTCACTGGAAGGTCCGAAGAATCTTTCAACATGCTCCTCTTGTCAACCTCGGCTCCAAACGATGTATCAGATGGTTTGGGGAGGAAAACATACCGAAGAAGTTCTGTCAACCAGGAATGTTTATTGGCAACACAACATGGTAACAACAAACGTCTTTGTATACCCACTACATCTTAATAATATTATCGTTTTTGGTGGCGACCATATATTGTTTTCCACAGAAATAAAGCCCTCAACATCCCTCAACATAGGTTAGGGTCATGCCGTGACAAAATAAGTCAACCAATGGTTTTGTCAGTCGCTCACATGAGTGAAAGCGATGGGAACATGTAGCTGGTGAGCTAGTCGTTGGTCACGTTTGATATCTATTCAACCCCCCAAATAGATATAGAGTACAGTAAAATCCCTTTCAAATGTATTGGAAACTGTGCCACTACAGTATCTATTTGGGGCTTTGCTACGTTCGTAGCGTCCTTGCTCCGGCTGGACTCGCTCCTGTATTGGCTCCAGCGCATCCGAGCGATCCGACAAGGAGGGTGGCCGCGAGCCCTGCGGCCGAGTCGTCGGTTCGTGCGGTCGAAACCGAAACGGAAGCTGAAACGAAGTCATGTAGGACTCTTGAGGATCAAAGCCCATCCCATATGAAGAGGTAGTGGTAGTGCATCCGGGGGTGGGTTTATGAATCGAGAGTCTGTAACAGTCTCTACATTATATAGTTCTGTACCTGTTGTACCTCTGCCGGAGAGTTGTTTGGTAATTGGGGGGGTTGGACATGAGATACCACATGTGCTCCATACCAACATTTGTGTATTCCTTGGTTTAGAAAAAGAGTCATGCAAGCAGGACTTGAGCCAGGAAGAGATGTTAGGAGGGACACTACTTGAGGCCTCCACGAGATGTTAGGGGAGTGTTCTGCACTGTCCCCTTCAACAATATTTCCACTGAAGTAACACTTGCTGTTTCAATATACCTTTTGAGATCCCAGAATGAGGTCACTTTGGCCTGTAAAAAAGGTCACTTCTATGATGTAGACATCCAAACCAGATCCAACCAAATCGAACCACCAACCTGCCTGCGTGTCATTCTTGGGGAAAGGACGGAAGCGGATTTGACTTTGTTGGCTATACGAGACCCCAGCGACCTACCGATGGTGCACGGCCAACATGATGGATGAGAAGTCCTGGCACTTCAAGGAACCATCGCAAAGCAAAACAATTGCTTCCCAGGCAGCTCTTTCTACAAAAGAGAGATCATGAGAGTAGTTCAGTCGTTGTCTTGCACTCTTTGTTTACATGGATCTTTTTTTCACTCTGGCAGATCAAATGACTTGAGCTCTGGCAGTCCCATGTTCGATATAAATCTGAGAATATCTCACCTATTCACATGGGGATATTCACCTGTCTATTCACCATTCACACCCGACCTCACAGGGCAGAACTTGACCTCGTTTGGGACCAGACTGGATCCGACGGGATTTCATCAAACATCGGCACCTTGGAGGAGGCGAAGCTGCGTGGAAGCATCTCATCGTCTCGTCCCTGAGTGGAGACGAAACAAGAACCGACTCCAACGACCCGTTCAAACGTCCCAAACAACGAATATTCCAAACAATTCAAAACGGAGGGGTGCTCCGATGACAATGATGGAGGTACTGCTCTTTCAACTTGTTTGCAGGTTGAAGGGTGATCCAGTGACATCGCTGAAGAACTGATCGCAAATAGCTGAAGAACTGAAGAACCGATCCGCCCTAAAACCTAAGACGAACCGTTTTTTGGACCCCCGCGGTGTCCTTGTAGAACTGCTGATTTTGGAATCTCCGATGGGGTGTAGTTGTTGTGGCTCATCACGGGTCGTTATGATGACGGAAAGCGATGAATATCGCTTTGAGTTGTTGGCCGGGAGGTAGTTCCGGGGGGGGGGGGGGGGAGTGCGAGGTTTTGATTTGCAGACTTTTGGGGTGTCTTGAGGCAGGTTCGAAGGTGCAAAAAACACTGTAATTTACAGTAAAAAGTTGCTTTGGGTGGGTTTGTGTTGAGCTTATTTACCTTCAAAAAGTTGCATTTTACCTGCACGAGAGGCAATTTTTGAGGTTTATCTTGTTATCTCGCATTCGAAGGCTTTGAAATGCAATGTGCATAAAACATTGGAAAACACAGCAAAAAATAAGACTTTTTTGGATCATTAATGCACTGTTTTTTGACAATTTTTTGACAAACTGGGCCCCGACTTTCCACAAGGTCATCGGATACAAAAATGACAGAGAAAATGCTAAAAAAGTCGGGGGCGTTCCAAAGCACCACCTGCATCACTACGAGGTGCATGGGAGGCGCAAAGATAACAGAAGAGACGGAAACAAAGCAAATCAACTTAAGATGATATTTTTTTGTCACCAAGGCCCACAAGAAGACAGAAAGAGCACAGACGAGACAAAAACAAAGCAAATCAACTTAAAGCAAATCAACTTAAGATGAGAGTTTTTTTGACACCAAGGCCCACAAGAAGATAGAAAGAGCACAGAAGAGACAGAAACAAAGCTAATCAACTTAAGATTTTTGACACCGAGGCCCACTAGAAGACAGAAAGAGCACAGAAGAGACAGAAACAAAGCAAATCAACTTAAGATGAGAGGCTTCTTGACACCAAGG